TTACAGCAAACGAGATCTCTGTGCTGGATTTGGTATCACACAATCACAAGTCGAAGACTTCCCAAGTGCATAGGACTATTTTATAATAATAGTAATAATAATTTAATTTAATATAATAACAACAATATATATTTAATAATTGTTATTTTAATATTATTTTATGTCACAGCAAGCGAGATCTCTGTGCTGGATTTGGTATCACAGAATCACAAGTCGAAGACTTCCCATGTGTTTAGGACTATTTTATAATAATAATAATAATAATAATAATAATAATAATAATAATAATAATTTTATATAATAATAACAACAATAATATTTTAAAATAATTACTTTAATATTATTTTATGTCACAGCAAACGAGATCTCTGTGCTGGATTTGGTATCACAGTCGAAGACTTCCCATGTGTTTAGGACTATTTTATAATAATAATAATAATAATAATAATAATAATTTTATATAATAATAACAACAATAATATTTTAAAATAATTACTTTAATATTATTTTATGTCACAGCAAACGAGATCTCTGTGCTGGATTTGGTATCACAGAATCACAAGTCAAACACTTCCCAAGTGTCTAGGACTATTTAATAATAATAATAATAATAATAATAATAATTTTATATAATAATAACAACAATAATATTTTAAAATAATTACTTTAATATTATTTTATGTCACAGCAAGCGAGATCTCTGTGCTGGATTTGGTATCACAGAATCACAAGTCGAAGACTTCCCATGTGTTTAGGACTATTTTATAATAATAATAATAATAATAATAATAATAATAATAATAATAATAATTTTATATAATAATAACAACAATAATATTTTAAAATAATTACTTTAATATTATTTTATGTCACAGCAAGCGAGATCTCTGTGCTGGATTTGGTATCACAGAATCACAAGTCGAAGACTTCCCATGTGTTTAGGACTATTTTATAATAATAATAATAATAATAATAATAATAATTTTATATAATAATAACAACAATAATATTTTAAAATAATTACTTTAATATTATTTTATGTCACAGCAAGCGAGATCTCTGTGCTGGATTTGGTATCACAGAATCACAAGTCAAAGACTTCCCATGTGTTTAGGACTATTTAATAATAATAATAATAATAATAATAATAATAATAATAATTTTATATAATAATAACAACAATAATATTTTAAAATAATTACTTTAATATTATTTTATGTCACAGCAAACGAGATCTCTGTGCTGGATTTGGTATCACAGAATCACAAGTCGAAGACTTCCCATGTGTTTAGGACTATTTAATAATAATAATAATAATAATAATAATAATAATAATAATTTTATATAATAATAACAACAATAATATTTTAAAATAATTACTTTAATATTATTTTATGTCACAGCAAGCGAGATCTCTGTGCTGGATTTGGTATCACAGAATCACAAGTCGAAGACTTCCCATGTGTTTAGGACTATTTTATAATAATAATAATAATAATAATAATAATAATTTTATATAATAATAACAACAATAATATTTTAAAATAATTACTTTAATATTATTTTATGTCACAGCAAGCGAGATCTCTGTGCTGGATTTGGTATCACAGAATCACAAGTCAAAGACTTCCCATGTGTTTAGGACTATTTAATAATAATAATAATAATAATAATAATAATAATTTTATATAATAATAACAACAATAATATTTTAAAATAATTACTTTAATATTATTTTATGTCACAGCAAACGAGATCTCTGTGCTGGATTTGGTATCACAGAATCACAAGTCGAAGACTTCCCATGTGTTTAGGACTATTTAATAATAATAATAATAATAATAATAATAATAATAATAATAATAATAATTTTATATAATAATAACAACAATAATATTTTAAAATAATTACTTTAATATTATTTTATGTCACAGCAAGCGAGATCTCTGTGCTGGATTTGGTATCACAGAATCACAAGTCGAAGACTTCCCAAGTGTCTAGGGCTATTTGATAATGATGATAATAATAATAATTTAATATAATAATAACAATAATATTTTAAAATAATTATTTTAATATTATTTCATGTCACTGCAAATGAGATCTTTATGCTGGATTTGGTATCACAGAATCACAAGTCGAAGACTTCCCAAGTGTCTAGGACTATTTGATAATGATGATAATAATAATAATTTAATATAATAACAACAATATATATTTAATAATTATTATTGTAATATTATTTTATGTCACAGCAAACCATAGCTCTATGTTGGATTTGGTATCACAGAATCACAAGTCGAAAACTTCCCAAGTGTCTACGACTATTTTATAATAATTAATAATAATTTAATATAACAACAATAATATATATTTAATAATTATTATTTTACGTCACAGCAAACAAGATCTCTATGCTGGATTTGGTATCACAGAATCACAAGTCGAAGACTTCCCAAGTGTCTAGGACTATTTGATAATGATGATAATAATAATAATTTAATATAATAATAACAACAATATTTTAAAATAATTATTTTAATATTATTTCATGTCACTGCAAATGAGATCTTTTTGCTGGATTTGGTATCACAGAATCACAAGTCGAAGACTTCCCAAGTGTCTACGACTATTTTATTACAATAATAATAATAATAATAATATAATATAATATAATAACATTAATATATATTTAATAATTATTATTTTAATATTATTTTATATCACAGCTATTGAGATCTAGATGTTGGATTTCATATCACAGAATCACAAGTCGAAGACTTCCCAAATGTCTGGGACTATTTTATAATAAATAATAATAATAATTTAATATATTAACAACAATAATATATATTTAATAATTATTATTTTAATATTATTTTATATCACAGCAAACGAGATCTCTATGCTGGATTTGGTATCACAGAATCACAAGATGAAGACTTTGCAAGTGTCTAGGACTATTTTATGATAATAATAATGATAATTTAATATAATAATAACAACAACAATATATATATAATAATTGTTATTTTAATATTATTTTATATCACAGCAAAGGAGATCTAGATGCTGGATTTCTTATCACAGAATCACAAGTCAAAGACTTCCCAAGTGTCTAGGACTATTTTATTATTATTATTATTGTAATATAATATTCCAATATAATAATAACAATATTTTAAAATAATTATTTTAGTATTATTTTATGTCACAGCAAACAAGATCTCTATGCTGGATTTTGTATCACAGAATCACAAGACGAAGACTTCGCACATTTTAATTATTATTATTTTACTGACACAAAAGGTATTTTAATAATTATTATTTTAATATTATTTTACTGACACAAAAGGTATTCTAATAATTATTACTTTAATAGTATTTTACTGACACAATATGTCATAGGAAACGAGAGCTCTATGCTGGATTTTGTATCACAGAATCACAAGTCGAACACTTCCCAAGCTTCTTTGACTATTTTATTATTATAATAATAATAATAATAATAATAATAATAATAATAATTTAATATAATAATCACAATAATAATTACTATTTTAATTATTATTATTTTACCCACACAAAGGGTATTTTAATAATTAGTATTTTATTAAAATGCTGGGGAAAGTGGAAGGCAAAAGGAAGAGGGGCCGACCAAGGGCAAGATGGATGGATGGCATCCTTGAAGTGACTGGACTGACCTTGAGGGAGCTGGGGGTGGTAACGGCCGACAGGGAGCTCTGGCGTGGGCTGGTCCATGAGGTCACGAAGAGTCGGAGACGACTGAACGAATGAACAACAACAACAACAAAGTATTTTAATATTATTTTACTGCCACAAAAGGTATTTTAATAATTATTACTTTAATATTATTTTACTGATACAATATGTCATAGGAAACGAGATCTCTATGCTGGATTTCGTATCACACAATCACAAGTCGAACACTTCCCAAGCGTCTTGGACTATTTTATAATAAAATAGAACAAGCCATTAGAACCAATGCCATCAAAGCCAGAATTGAAAAGTCGACGGCAGGTCCCAAGTGTAGACTCTGCAAGGAAGCAGATGAAACAATAGATCCCATCCTCAGCTGCTGCAAGAAGATCATGCAGACAGACTCCAAGCAGAGGCACAACACCGTTGCTCAGGGGATTCATTGGAACTTGTGCCACAAACGCCATCTGCCTGCGACAAAGAACTGGTGGAATTACAAGCCGGAAATAGTTACAGAAAATAAACACTTCAAACTCATCTGGGATTTCCGAATTCCGACAGACAAGAATTCTAGAGCACAACACTCCTGACCTCACAACCATGTTAAAAAACAAAGTATGGATCGTCAATGTTGCAATCCCAAGTGACAGCAGGATTGCAGAGAAACAACTGGAAAAGCTGACACGATATGAGGATTTAAAGATTGAACTGCAAAGACTCTGGCACAAACCAGTCAAGGTGGTCCCAGTGGTGATTGGCACACTGGGTGCAGTGCCTAAAGACTTTGGCTTGTACTTAAACACAATCGGCGCTGACAAAATGACAATCTGACAGCTGCAGAAGACCACCCTACTGGGATCTGCACACATCATTTGCCGATACATCACACAGTCCTAGACACTTGGGAAGTGTCCGACGTGTGATCCAATCTGGGATCTGTCGTCAACTTTTCAATTCTGGCTTTGATGGCATTGGTTCTAATGGCTTGTTCTTGGGCTGCAAGAATCCCATTATTATTATTATTATTATTATTATTATTATTATTATTTACTTCCAAAAGTACTGGTTACCTAGTTTCTTCCAAAGTTTATTGAAACACTATTGAAAGTATCAATGATCCTTCAGTTTGTGTTTGTGCATCAAATGAAGAGAGACACACAATGCATGGCTGGGATGGTTTGCTGTCGCCTTTTCATGTGACCAGTCCTGGGACGATGACCTCCGGGCAACGGCAGAGAGGGCAAAAGTTGCTTATTTTAGACTACAGCTTGCAGAACCCCTCCGTTGTGTAATAATAAGAAGAAGACACTTTCCCAGGCACTTCTGTTGCACTGCAGCCAGGCAGATCTGGGTGGTTTGTGGCTTGCATACAAGACTTGCTGTGGAAGGTGTTTATATGATTTTAATGTGGGGACTATAGCTGGCAATCTTCCATTCTGAAGTTTGGGGTCTGAAGGACATAGGGAAATTGTAAGTACAACTATCTGAATGTCAAAAGAGACTTGGAAAGTGTTGTAAGTTGGGCTTCTAGTGCCAGGAAGGTTATTATTATTATTATTATTATTATTATTATTATTATTATTATTATCCTGGGAGTGCACAACTCCAGTCATTGTGGAGCCCTTGAGAGCTCCAGTTGGAGGTCAGCTGTGACCAGCAGTGCTGTAGAATTTGAAGAGGCATGAATGGAGGGTGAAAGAGAGAAACGTGCCAAGACTGGGACCTCCTTCCACCTGGAAACCGATGCCCTCACTGCGGGAGAACATGCAGATCATGACTCCACAGTCACCTACGTACCCACCGCCAAGATACTACACTTGGAGGACCATCATCCTCGGACTACGAGGGATCACCTAAGTATTATTATTGTACTAGCTGTACCCACCATGCCTTGCTGTGGCCAACCTTCCTTCCCCTTTCTCTCCTTTCTTCCTTCCCTTTTTTCTTTCCTTCTCTCCTTCCTTCCTTCTCTACCTCTTTCCTTCCTTCCCCTCCCTTTATCTTTCCTTTTTTCTTTCTCTCCTTTCTTCCTACTCTACCTATTCTTGGACTGTAACTCCCAGCAGTCCTCCTGATTGATTGCTTTATCTACCTACCTACCTACCTATCTCTATCTATCTAATCTATCTATCTTACCTATTTGGAAGATTGCTGGGAGTTGCAGTCCAGGAATAGGAAATTGGAAATATGCACTGTATTGCCGTTTAGTTTCTTTTGTTTTTAAGTCCTTTCCGCTGTTTTTTGGGAGAGATTTATGAGTGATGGTCACTCATTGGTTTGTTAAGAGTGTAGTGTCCAAATTTTGTGTCAATTCGTCCAGTGGTTTTTGAGTTATATTAATACCACAAATGAACATTACATTTCATTTATATAGACTAGACGTCCCCGCTATGTGTTGCTGTGGCCCAGTCTGTGTATACGTGTTTTGTATTATGATTCTATGATTCTATCCATCTGAACATGAGGAAGAACTTCCTGACTGTGAGAGCTGTTCAGCAGTGGAACTCTCTGCCCCGGAGTGTGGTGGAGGCTCCTTCTTTGAAGGCTTTTAAACAGAGGCTGGATGGCCATCTGTCAGGGGTGCTTTGAATGCAAAATTCCCACTTCTTGGCAGGGGGTTGGACTGGATGGCCCATGAGGTCTCTTCCAACTCTTTTATTCTATGATTCTATGTGTATATGTGTGTGCGTATATTTGTGTATATGTGTATGTGTGTTTGTGTATATATCTGGTTTCGCACATGTGTTGTAATGTATCATGTTGTTTTCTGGCTTTTTAAGTCTCTTCCGCTGTGTTTTTTGGTGTTTTTATGAGTGATGGTCACTTGTTGGCCTGAGAAGTGTTTTGTGTCCAAATTTGGTGTCAATTCGTCCAGTGATTTTTGAATTATGTTAATCCCACAAATGAACATTACATTTTTATTTATATAGATTTATTATTTATCTCTCCAGAAGGGTACTCAAAGTAGCTGGGTTTTAGAGCAGCAACAACAACTTTATATTGTTGTTGTTGTTGTGGTTCTTGTTGTTATTTCTTTTCTGCCTCTTCCCAAGATGCCAGGTGAGTTACGACACGATTAAAATACAATAGCCTCCTTCCTTACAGGCTTTGAAACAAAAGTCTGGATGGCCATCTGTCGGGGCTGCTTTGATTGTGCTTGTCCTGCATTGCAGAATGGGGTTGGACTAGGTGGCCTATGTGGTCTCTTTCAACTCTGTTAGTCTATGATTAGATAAAAAAAACATGAAACCATTTGAAACACAGATGGAAAACTGGGCTTTCTGCTGCTCTAAAGACTAGGATATGAAGTAATGAATTCAAATGGCAGGGAAAGAGATTAACATTAAACATTAGGAAGGACTTCCTGACTTCCTGATTGTAAAGAACTTCTTGACAGTAAGCTCATTCCAGAAGTGGAATCAATTGCCTATAAAGGTGGTGGGGTCACTTTCTCTGGACATCTTCCAAAAGGATTACTTACTTACTTAGGCGATCCCTCGTTGTCTGAGTAGGATTGTCTTCCAAGATCGGTGTCCTGGCGGTAGGTCCGTAGGTGACTGTGGAGCCCTATTCTTGATCCGCATCTTCTCCTGCAGTGAGGGCATTGGTTTCCAGGTGGAAGGTGGTCCTGATTTGGGTTGGCTTGATGCGCCTTCCTCTTGGCATGTTTCTATTTCGCCCTCCATTCATGTCTCTTCAAATTCTACAGCACCGCTGGGCACAGCTGACCTCCAACTGGAGCGCTCAAGGGCCAGGGCTTTCTAGTTCTCAGTGTCTATGCCAGAGTTTTTAAGGTTGGCTTTGAGCCCATCTTTAAATCTCTTTTCCTGTCCTCCAACATTCTGTTTTCTGTTCTTGAGTTCGGAGTAGAGCAACTGCTTTGGGAGACGGTGGTCGGGCATCCGGACAATGTGGCCGGTCCAGCGGAGTTGATGGCGTAGGACTATAACTTCAGTGCTGGCGGTCTTTGCTTCTCCCAGCACGCTGACATTTGTTCACCTGTCTTCCCAATATATTTGCAGGATTTTTCAGAGGCAACGCTTATGGAATCGTTCCAGGTGCATGTGACGTCTGTAGACAGTCCTCGTCTCGCAGGCGTATAGCAGGGTTGGGAGGACGATAGCTTTATAAACAAGCCCCTTGGTATCCCTACGGATGTCCTGGTCCTCAATCACTCTCTGCTTCATTTCGCCACCTATCTTCCCAGGAGATTTGTAGTATTTTCCAGAGGCAACACTGATGGAATCGTGCCAGGAGTTGCATGTGACGTCTGTAGACAGTCCTCATCTCACAGGCGTATAGCAGGGTTGGGAGGACAATGGCTTTATAAACAAGCCTCTTGGTCTCCCTACGGATGTCCCCCTCCTCAAACACTCTCTACTTCATTTCCCCACCTATCTTCCCAGGAGATTTGTAGGATTTTCCGGAGGCAGCGCTGATGGAATCGTTCCAGAAGTTGCATGTGACGTCTGTAGACAGTCCACGTCTCGCAGGGTTGGGAGGACAATAGCATTATAAACAAACACCTTGGTATCCCTATGGATGTCCCAGTCCTCAAACACTCTCTGCTTCATTTGGAAAAACACTTCACTCGCAGAGCTCAGCCGGTGTTGTATTTCAGTGTCAATGTTGACTTTTGTGGTGAGGTGGCTGCCAAGGGAGTGGAAATGGTCAACATTTTGTAATGTCACACCAATAAGCTGTATTTCTGGCATTGGAGAGGGATTGGCTGGTGACTACTGGAAGAGCACTTTGGTTTTCTCGATGTTAAATGACAGGCCGAGCTTCTCATATGCTTCTGTGAAGGTGTTCAGGGTGGCTTGTAGCATAGTGTCTAGATCTAGGGAAGTCATGCTACCCCCTATTCTGCTCTGGTTAGACCACACCTGGAATATTGTGTCCAATTCTGGGCACCACAATTCAAGAGAGATATTGACAAGCTGGAATGTGTCTAGAGGAGGGCGACTAAAACAATCAAGGGTCTGGAGAACAAGCCCTATGATGAGCGGCTTAAGGAGCTGGGCATGTTTAGCCTGAAGAAGAGAAGGCTGAGAGGAGATATGATAGCCATGTATAAATATGTGAGAGGAGGTCACAGGGAGGAGGGAGCAAGCTTGTTTTCTGCTTCCTTGGAGACTAGGATGCAATGGAACAATGGCTTCAAACTACAAGAGAGGAGATTCTATCTGAACATGAGGAAGAACTTCCTGACTGTGAGAGCCGTTCAGCAGTGGAACTCTCTGCCCCGGAGTGTGGTGGAGGCTCCTTCTTTGGAAGCTTTTAAACAGAGGCTGGATGGCCATCTGTCAGGGGTGATTTGAATGCAATATTCCTGCTTCTTGGCAGAATGGGGTTGGACTGGATGGCCCATGAGGTCTCTTCCAACTCTTGAATTCTATGATTCTATGAATTCACACAGATGGCATTGTCATCAGCATACAGGAGTTCTATAACAGATGTTGTTGTAACCTTGGTTTTGCACCAGTGGTTCTCAACCTGTGGGTCCCTAGATGTTTTCATCCTCAACTTCCAGAAATGCTAACAGTTGGTAAACAGGATGGGATTTCTGAGAGTTGTAGGCCAAAACACCTGGGCAGCCACAGGTTGAGAACCACTGAAGACCATTACCTTTAGCTGGAGGTCCCATATTGAGTGAGGGATTGAATCAGATGTCTCTCATGGTAACATTCAGCTTGAGGGACAGGCAAGTTATGGAGACAGAAAAGAGAAGTTGAGTTGCTTATTGAGTTTCCCTGTTATTCTACTTTCTCTTCTACTTTTTAAAACCACTTTCACACAAGCAAAACCATGCCCAGCCTTGTTCCGGAAAAGATTTTACTTTAATGTTTGACCCTAGTTGGAGGCAATTTGGGAGCTTTAGTACCATTTGCAAGCTCTATTTTAGAACAGGATCTACTGAAGAAGTTCACTCAGACTTCCAGGTGAGAGCTCACTCAAATGTTTCTATGTCTGTTTCTGATATGCATATAAGCACATCTAAGAAATATCAACATTTTCTGACTATATCTCCCCACATCCCTGACTCAAATGGCCATGAGTCCATGTGGCTGAATGACAGGAAGCAACCACCTGCATTGTGTCAGCTACATATTAAAGCTCTCGATGTAATATTCTTTGAAGGTGCAGCCCATGCAAGATGCCTGTCAACGTGAATGACGTGATGCAGCTCCTGTGCCATGTCTCAGAAGAGCGGAAAATGAAGGCGGCCGTCAAGCACTCTGGACGGGGCGCGTTGGTGGCCGGTGCCACTGCTTTTGTCGGGGGATTGGTGGGAGGTCCTCCTGGCATAGCCGTAGGTGAGTAAGCTGTTGTTGAGCCAGTCCTGTACAGGCAGTCATAGAATCATGAATCATAGAATCAAAGAGTTGGAAGAGACCTCATGGGCCATCCAGTCCAATCCCATTCTGCCAAGAAGCAGGAATATTGCATTCAAATCACCCCTGACAGATGGCCATCCAGCCTCTGTTTAAAAGCTTCCAAAGAAGGAGCCTCCACCACACTCCGGGGCAGAGTTCCACTGCTGAACGGCTCTCACAGTCAGGAAGTTCTTCCTCATGTTCAGATGGAATCTCCTCTCTTGTAGTTTGAAGCCATTGTTCCATTGCGTCCTAGTCTCCAGGGAAGCAGAAAACAAGCTTGCTCCCTCCTCCTCCCTCTGGCTTCCTCTCACATATTTATACATGGCTATCATATCTCCTCTCAGCCTTCTCTTCTTCAGGCTAAACATGCCCAGCTCTTTAAGCCGCTCCTCATAGGGCTTGTTCTCCAGACCCCTGATCATTTGAGTCGCCCTCCTCTGGATACATTCCAGCTTGTCAATATCTCTCTTGAATTGTGGTGCCCAGAATTGGACACAATATTCCAGGTGTGGTCTAACCAAAGCGGAATAGAGCATGGGGAGCATGACTTCCCTAGATCTAGACACTAGGCTCCTATTAATACAAGCCAAAATCCCATTGGCTCTGTAGATTTGTCCTTAAGTTGAATCTGTTTATCAGTTGGAAGAGGGACACTTTAAAAGTGTAAATCCAGCCATGTATGTATGTACAAGGGTTGAATGAAAAGTAATGCCTCCACCTTCGTAACTCCTCAACAGATGGCAGTACTGATATGCGGTAGGTACTGGCTTGTTCAGTAGACTCTCCTCCAGCTGCGATGTTTTTTTAAATGTCTCTCTGTGTTGCTTCCCAAGGCGGTGCCGTTGGTGGTTTGATCGGGGCCTGGATGACCAGCGGACAGTTCAAGCCCATTCCTCAGATCCTCCTGGAATTGCCTCCCGTGGAGCAGCGGAGGCTTTACGACCGGGCCTTTGCCATCATCAGCAGTTTAGACTGGACGGACGCTGCGCAGCTCATTGCCCTCGTCATGGGAAACGCGGCCATTCAGGAAAAGTTGCTCACCGTGCTGACTTCCTATATCACCAATGAGCTCAGAGCAGAAATCCAGTATGGAAAGTAGATCCCGACCTCAATCTGATTGTGTTGGTTTTCTTATTTATTTTTTTCAGGGTGCAAAGGGTGCCTGTTATATGTAGTGAAGAATATTTTAAATCTATGAAGATAATAATAGATTTAGTATGGATGCGGAAGTAGTAATCATCATGGTATGATAACAGTGATTCCTAAATAAGAGTCATGTGATTTTGGAAAGGCCTCTGTTCCAATATCAGAATCTCTTTTCCACCAGTACTTTCCTATGTTGCCCCTAATTGGCAGCACCTTAATTTGGGTCTCTATGCATAAATGTGCTCACTTGGAGAGATATCTTGGCTGGAACTCAAATGAACGTGGTCTCCAGATGAGCAAGAGCATGCTGGAAAGATAGTATTTTACTAGATGGTCAATGAGGGCATCTGATTCCAAACTTGGGTAAACTTGGTTTTTGAACAACATCTCTGAACGCACCCAAGACTGGCTTAGGGATTGAAACCATGGCACCCCTTGGAAGTAGGCCTGATCCACCTGGCATTCTAATAAAACAATGCCACAGTACGTAAACAAGAGGATTATACTGGCCAACGTGACTCTCTTAACATTAGATATGGATAACTTTGCTATGATTTGCCATGTAGTTTGGTATGTTCATAACACCGCTTGAAATGATAGTTGTCAAGATACCTTGACTTATTGACCTCTCTTATTGTGAAGGACATTTTTTAAAAAAGAACAAAACATATTGTGTGACTGATTAAGAATACATTACGACTTTTTGATTTAGCAGCTGAACAAATGAAGCAATTTTGGATCTATTTGCTCCTTGTGTGTGTGTTATTTACATCTACATGGTTTCAAGTAATACCCCTGTCAAAGGTTATTTGCTTTCTCAGCCTTGTTGCCACTGTTCTATTTATTTTATTTATCTTGTCAGGTGCAAACCAAAACAGTTGCATTGCATTAAAAACAAACAAAGAAACAAAACAAAACACAAAGTTTGCAGACTTGGTATTCTACTAAATGTACTTTGACCAGTATCTGGCCACTTGGAGTGCTTCTGGTGTTGCCGCAAGGAGGTCCTCCATGGTGCATGTAGCAAGGCTCAGGTTGCATTGCAGCAGGTGGTCAGTGGTTTGCTCTTCTCCACACTCGCATGTCGTGGATTCCACTTTGTGGCCCCATTTCTGAAGATTGGCTCTGCATCTCGTGGGGCCAGAGCGCAGTCTGTTCAGCGCCTTCCAAGCTACGTGTGAATGTTTCAACTGACTACCTTGATTAGCATTTGATGGCCTGGCAGTTCCTGGAGCAATCTTTTGTTGAGAGATAATTAGCTGTCCCTGATTGTTTCCTCTCTGTTGTTTTGCTCTTGTAATTTTAGAGTTTTTTAAAACTGGTAGCCAGATTTTGTTCATTTTCATGGTCTCTTCCTTTCTGTTGAAATTGTCCACCTGCTTCTTGTGGATTTCAATGGCTTCTCTGTGTAGCCTGACATGGGGGTTGTGAGAGTGGTCCGGCATTTCTGTGTTCTCAAATAATATGCTGTGTCCAGGTTGGTTCATCAAGTCATGGCTGACTTCTCTGGTTGGAGTAGTCTGCAATGCCTTTCATGTTCCTTGATTCGTGTTTGGGCAATGCTTCTGTGTTTGGTGGTCCCCATGGAGACTTCTTGTCCACACCTGCATGGTACAACAGACAGGAAACAATCAGGGACAGCTAATCACCTCTCAACAAATGATTCCCCCAGGCACTTTTTTTCTCCTATCAGGAGCAACTTGAGAAACTGCAAGTCGCTTCTGGTGTGAGAGAATTGGCTGTCTGCAAGGATGTTGCCTAGGGGATGCCCGGATGATTTGATGTTTTTTTATGGGAGGCTTCTCTCGTGTCCCCACATGAGGAGCTGGAGTTGATAGAGGGAGCTCATCAGCCTTTCCCCAGATTTCCCCTGTTGGTCTTCAGTCCAGGCACAGCCAAGCCATCAGTGCTAATCAAGGTGGCCAGTTGAAACATTCACACCTAGCTCCAGCAGAAAAGAGTCCTTTGTCCCACCCTGGTCATTCCACAGATATATAAACCCTTTTTCCTAGTTCCATCAGACCTCACTACCTCTCTGAGGATGCTTGCCATAGATGCAGGCGAAACGTCAGGAGATAATGCCTCTAGAACATGGCCATATAGCCCGAAAAAACCTACAACAAGCCAGTGATTCCGGCCATGAAAGCCTTTGACAATGCATTATTTAGCCTTGTTTACCAAAGAGCTTGGATTCTTCACCAAATTACAAATTCCAAGATTTCATAGCATTGGGTCATGGCAGTGAGTGGGGTCAGATGGCAGGAATTCCACAGTGTAGATGCATCCGAAGTTATAATCCCTGAGAACCTTGAACCATTCATACTCAGACAGTGGCAATTAGCCATTCTGATTCTATACTACCTCTGTGGTCAGGGACATGATGCCTATGGACAATGCCAATTGAAGGACAATTGTTTTCCTTGGGGGCACCCAGACACTGTGTTGAACAAGCTACACGGTTGCTCTGGTTCTTCTTGGGTCATCAAGTCTCTTTCATTTTCTAAATAACAGTAATACATTTCTGGACATGGAGCAGCTGCTGAACTAATCGTCTTATTAATCTAACTCTCGCCCCCAAGAATCTCACCACACTCGACTCCACCACTTTCTCAAGCGAGGCTGGTGGGGACGAGGAGCAGGGCCTTCTCAGTGGTGGCCCCCCACCTGTGGAACTCACTCCCAGTGGATATCAGGGCATCGACATCACTCCTGTCCTTTAGGAGGAAGGTAAAGACGTGGTTGTGGGACCAGGCCTTCGGGCAATCTGCAAACTAGGTAGGACAACCAGGCAAATAGGACCGACAGGACTGATCTATGTGGACTGATAAATGTGAAAGGAAACTCTGAACCATGAGATAGCGAACATTGACCGGCAATAAGGAAGAAGTGGTTTGTATGAAATTTTATTGGTTTTAATGGGCTAGATGTAATGTATTGTTGTTGTTTGCTAATTTGTGTTATTCTGCTTTATTGTTTTATTGTTGATGTATGTTACGGGCATCGAATTGTGCCTTGGATGTGTAAGCTGCCCTGAGTCCCCTTCGGGGTGAGAAGGGCAGGGTAAAAGTTAACCAAATAAATAAATAAAATAAAACAGTAGATGTGGCTCTTAATGAGACATGCCGCATTATCACGGGGTGTCTGCGCCCTACACCACTGGAGAAATTACACTGCTTAGCCGGTATCGCACCACCTGACATCCGCCGGGAAGTAGCAGCCAATAGCGAAAGGACCAAGGCAGAGACATCTCCAGCTCATCCCCTGTTTGGGTATCAGCCAGCACGTCAACGACTTAAATCTAGAAATAGCTTTCTAAGATCTAAGAGACACTCTCTGGAACACCTCAGCAAGCGAGAGTCCAAAAGTGGCAGGCTCAAACCCAGAACCTCAACCAATGGCTGATACCAAATGAGAGACTCACCCCTGGGCACACAGAAGACTGGGCGACTTGGAAGGCGCTGAACAGACTGCGCTCGGGCACCACGAGATGCAGAGCCAACCTCAAGAAATGGGGCCACAAAGTGGAATCCACGACATGCGAGTGTGGAGAAGAGCAAACCACTGACCACCTGCTGCAATGAACCCTGAGCCCCGCCACATGCACGATGGAGGACCTTCTTGCGGCAACAGCAGAGGCACTCCAAGTGGCCAGATACTGGTCAAAGGACATTTAATCAACTACCAAACTCACAAATTTTGTATTCTGTCTGTTTGTTTGCTTTGTTCTGTTAGAAATGTAATGTAATTGACTGGTTGTCCTGACAGGACAAATAAATAAATAACCCCAAGAATTTACCAGCAAAGCAGAAACTAAAAGGTATTGAGATATGAAAAGAAATAACAGGAGTGTGATGTGAAATCACGTGGCTGACATTCTGGTCTTGTTTCTGGCTGAACTGAAAGCAAAAAGAGACAGGGTTCAGTCCCTGAACCTTGTCTTTTGAAAGAGCATGCATTCTGGGAATACGAAACTGACATATTTCTGGGAAGACTAGGCTTGTATTTGCGTAACCACTATGTATGTGTGTGTGTGTGTATAGAAATAGAAATAGAAATGTGATGTTAGTTTGTGGGATTAACATAACTCAAAAACCACTTAACGAATTGCTGCCACATTTGGCCACAAGACACCTACTAACCCAAGGAGTGACCATCACTCAATTTTTTTTGATTTTGTCATTTGGGAGTTGTAGTTGCTGGGATTTATAGTTTACTTACAATCAAAGAGCATTCTGAATTCAACCAATGATGGAATTGAACCAAACGTGGCACACAGGACTCCCTTGACCAATAGAAAACACTAGAAGGGTTTGGTGGGCATTGACCTTGAGTTTGGGAGTTGTAGTTCACCTTCATCCAGAGAGCACTGTGGACTCAAACAATGATGGATCTGCACCAAAGTTGGCACAAATATGAACACAGATGGAGTTTGGGGGAAATAGGCCTTGACATTTGGGAGTTATACTTACTGGGATTTATAGTTTCCTACAATCAAAGCCATGGTATTCCCTGTAGTCACCTACAGATGTGAGAGCTGGACCTTAGGGAAGGCTGAGCGAAGGAAGAGAGATGCTTTTGAGCTGTGGTGTTGGAGGAAAGTTCTGAGAGTGCCTTGGACTGCGAGAAGATCCAACCAGTCCATCCTCCAGGAAATAAAGCCCGACTGCTCACTGGAGGGAAGGAGACTAGAGACAAAGTTGAAGTCCTTTGGCCACATCATGAGGAGACAGCAAAGCCTAGAGAAGACAATGATGCTGGGGAAAGTGGAAGGCAAAAGGAAGAGGGGCCGACCAAGGGCAAGATGGATGGATGGCATCCTTGAAGTGACTGGACTGACCTTGAAGGAGCTGGGGGTGGTGACGGCCGACAGGGAGCTCTGGCGTGGGCTGGTCCATGGGGTCACGAAGAGTCGGAGACGACTGAACGAATGAACAACTATATATATATATATATATATATATATATATATATATATATATTAGTCCCTAAGTTATGAACAAGATAGGTTCTGTAAGTTTGTTCTTAAGTTGAATTTGTTTGTAAGTCAAAACACGCACATTTTTAAAGTGTAACTGCAGGCCCAAATAAATATATCCTTTTTGTTGTCAAGATGAGCTTAAAATGTTTTTCTGTTTAGACAAGGCTTGTTATTCCTGCAGAAGTGGAGGCTAAACAAATATGCATATTAGGCTTGGGCGATCAAGAAAAAAATGGTTCTAAACTCGTTTCGTATATAGGGGGCGCTGGCGATTCGATTTTGAAATGATTTCTGAAATTTTCTTGAAAAAAAGATCGGAAATAGCAGAAATCCGAATCACTTTGTTTGCTTCGTTAATGGAAGGTGCCCCTCCCTCCCTTCAGAACCATTACGTAACTTTGACAAAGTCAGAAAGCCTAAACAAACAGTTTTAAAATCTCGCAGTTTCCCTTCAGGCTAAACATGCCCAGCTCCTTAAGCGGCTCCTCATAGGGCTTGTTCTCCAGACCCTTGATCATGATGGAATTGAACCAAACGTGGCAACAGGAAGAGCTGTTCTTAGCCACGCCCATCTCGTCCCTCTTCATCATCCTTCACCGTAGATGCAGGCGAAACGTCAGGAGAGAATGCCTCTAGACCATGGCCATATAGCCCGAAAAACCCTACAACAACCCATTCACACCTAGCTCCAGCATACAAGAGTCCTTTGTCCCACCCTGGTCATTCCACAGAT